TTTGATGTTATAGTTTTGCATCAGGTTGATGTGTTTTTAGTGTTTTGTAACTATAGCGGTGGTTGTTTTTGGTGCATGGTCTGTTGGAGGGAAAGAATTTGTTTTAGTTCCCCCTTCATCTTTCTTATCTTATCCTAAGATTTAGGTTGTGAAATGCGTATAGTTGTATGCCAGTTGCATTTTTGGAGTGTTCCTGAATTTCTGGCAGATTCCATTCTCTACATAGGAGGAGGATCCAATGTGATGATGGTTTATCTAAACTCTCATTCCTTTCATTTCTCTAATTCCTGTCGCTTATGTATTTGTCCTCTAGGATTCCGTTTTTCTGTTTTTTTTGTATTGCTTTTCCCCGGAACAAAGCTCCAATTACTTCCTTTCGCCAGTGCCCTAGCCAGTTCTATTATAGAGGAAGATATTGTCAGTAAACTCGGTTCTTTTTCAACTATCAGACAAGGACGCAATTACCATCCCGATTGAAATTGAGGATATTCATCTCAGCTCAAAAGAATGCAGAAAAAGTTTGTTTTATAAAATAATTGGTCAAAAGAAAGCTCATCTGGTAGTGTTGAAGAGCGATAAATCAGACCGTCAGTGGTAATAAGGGAATTGGGCACAGACTATTTCCAATTCATATTATTAGAGGAATCATACAAGCTCAAAGTTGCAAAGAGAATTTGTTGGACCTCTGAAAATCAGTTCTTAATCCTAAGAGAGTTGAAGAAAGACAGTAATCCGAAACATCATATTTTTTAGGAGTTAGACCTCTCGGTTCAAGTTTCGAACATGCCGTTACACTGGTTATCTGCAAAATTAGGTCTAAAGATAGGTAAAGGTTTCAAGAAAATTGATGTGGCATTGCCTCAAGTAAGAGTTCTTGCAGGGAAATGCCTTAGGTTGTTAGTCATAGTGGATATATCTCAACCCTTGATGAGATGTGCTACAATACAACTTGGCCAAACGAAAATAATTTTAGACTTCAAATATGGAAGGTTGGTGAGTTTGTGCCACTATTGTGGAGTTCTAAACCATCTTAACAGAACATGTGAAAGAAGAGCCACATATATAGCATATGGTTCCCTATCAGAAGGCTTATATGGAGACTGGTTGAAAGCTTAGGACATCTTCTCATCCTCTAGCAATGCCCAAGCCAGCAATACCTCAACATCCCCAATCATAAACACCAACCAGAATCCAAAACAATCTTGAGGAGCATTTGATAACTCTAAACCCATTCTCTCAGAGCCCAACCAAAGTATCAAACCTCTACTTGATAAATCTCAAATCCTATACAACCAATCAACCTCTCGGGCCCAAGATTTACCACCTTCAGCCATTACATAAACTCCAATTCAGCAACCACTACATTTCCCCTTCATTCAAGAAGAACACACTCAAATGGAAACTGAGATAAGCCATATTGCAGATTAACCTCTTGACACAATTAAAACAAGTATTGTGCCATCACTTAAGAAAAGGGTCAGGAGAAACAACTGGTAATCAACACTGATCCAGGATTGCAATAAAAAAAAGGTTGGAAAAGAAAAGCTCCTGCAGCAACTAAACATACTACAGATATCTTAAAAACCAGAACAACCATGGGCAAAAGGAAGCTAGTGATTTCAGAGCCTATGGAATCATCAGATAAAGTTCACTCTAAATGAGATACTCAACTCAGAAACAATATCAAACTTGGGGATTCAGAGGTCATGGAGGCCGGTTAAAAATGGCCCCACCAGAATCAATGATAGTTGTGGTGTAGAACTGTAGAGGGCTGGGTGGACCCTCTACAGTTTTCCAGCTGAAGGAGATCTTAAGGCTCCACCACCTAGGTTTATTTTTTATTTCACAAACAAAAAAAGTGTAAATTTGTACATACAGTTTGCAGGAATTTTGGAGTGGGAGACCAGCGGGTTGCAGTGGAGCCCATATGTAAGAGTAATGGGCTTTTATTTTGTTGGGATAGCACTGTTACATCATCGTGTCATTAAAAATAGCTTTTGTATCCAAGTTCAGTTTTGGGAAGCAACAAGAGCAGACATGTGACGGGGAATATTTGTATATTTAAGCATTGATTCCAGAACCAGATTAGATTATAGGTCTTGTCTTGAAGTTGAAAAATGTAATTGGGAAACAACTGGTTTCAGGGTGGAGGAGGACACTGGAGTGACATCATTTCTCATGAAGACAAAATAGGAGGTAGAAAAAGGACTTTGACCTCTTTTTCCCCATTCAAGGAATTCATAGCAAAGATATGGATGGCTGAATTTGCTTGGATAGGCCATACTTTTACCTGGGGTAACAAAAGACAATGAGAAGGCTATGTGAAGGAGAAGCTAGATAGAAACTTTGGATCCCGGAACTGCCTAGCAAAGTACCCTAATGCTTTTGTGTCTAACATCTTCAGAAGTTCCTCAATCATGGGATGCTCCTGCTCAACCTTACACCTGAAATCTCTGGCACAAATAAAAGGTGGTTCAAATTTGACAGTAGATGGGTAGGAAAAGCAGAGTTCCAAGAAGTGGTAAAGAAGATCCTCAAATGGAGTAGTGGGTTCAGAAAATCTAGGGCAACGAAAATTGAGCTCTTGAACAAACAGTTGACTGAGATGCACTACCAAAGAGGGTTGAAGGACTGGAATCTTTGGGACTCATTGCACAGTAAACTTAATGAGGCTAATAAGGAAGAAGAGCTATATTGGAGGCAAAAATCAATGGTGGCTTGGCTCAAATGAGGAGACAAGAATTTCAGATATTTTCATGTTTGCACTCTGCAAAGAAGAAAGACCAACTTAATCCTCAGATTAGAAATTGAAGATCATTCAGTAAGTCAAACTCAAGAAGAAATAACAACCAGTATAGAGGATTTCTTCAAGAGACGTTTTAGCACTGATGGCTTAAGAGGTGGAAGGGAGGTGCTGCAAGATATCATTCCAGTCATTTCAGAGGAAAAGAACACAAAACTGGCAGGGTAAGTGGGAATCGAGGAGATAAAGGAAGCATTGTTTAGCATCAACCCTCTCAAAGCACCTGGTCAATATGGTATAACATCCACCTTTTTTCAGCCTTTCGGGAATATTTTAGCTTCTGATATTTGCACTATGGTTTCCAGTTTCTTTGAGTCTGGGAAAATCTTAAAAAACATCAATCACTCTCTCGTCACTCTTATCCCAAAAGTTATTAATCCGACTTTTGTTTCCCACTTTAGACCTATAAGTCTTTGCAGTGTCATTTACAAAATAATATCTAATATTCTTGCAAATAGGCTCGAGACTTGCCTATCTAGTTGCATCAGTGAAAACCAAGATGCATCTTTTCTAAACAGGCAAATCCTAGATAATACTATTGTTGCTCAGGAAGTTATGCATTTTTTGAATAGACATAGAAGTGGCAGGAACTGTTACATGAACATTAAGCTTGATATGGCTAAGGCTTTTGACAGAGGTGAATGGGATTATGTTAGATTGATTATGCTAAAATTTGGTTTCCATGCTTCTTTTGTGAAATGGATTTCTGCTTGTATCTCATCTCACACCTTCTCTTTCAATATAAATAGTAGTGTTGTTGGTTTTTTACAACCTTGAAGGGTATTAGAAAGGGGGATCTTATATCACCCTTACATTTTTATCCTAATATCTGAAATCTTTTGTTTTATCATAAAATTCAAATCCAATATAGTACCTATGGATACATAAGAAATGTATTGAATTCTGAGCTAAGAAAAAGGCTTTTTGATCGCCGGCAGTGGGTCTTGGGGTTCTCTTCTCACTTGGGTATCTACTCGTCAACTCGTTCAACCGATCATTCCTTCTGTGGAACAAGAATCAGTGCAAAATCTCAACCCTATTTCCACTTACATCAATATCTTATTTATCCTTTCATGCAAGCATTAATAAGAGGATGTTTATTCATAACTAAGCTACATCAGAGAATTTCGTGTCATTGCTCGCTGACCTGCTTTTGAAATTAATTATACGGATTCAGATCTGGGTGCCACTGCACATAAAGATATGGATAGGGATGCCAATTCGCCTATCATCTTTTCTTTCAAAAGATGAGTCCGTCTATTTAGAGTTCTGGCTTCTAGGGCCATAAGAGTTAGCAATCCCCGACAGAGCGAAGCGTAGTGAGAAAGGAGGGTAAAAACTACTAGAGAAAGGCTAAGTGTTCTTGGAACTTTTCTTTTCTTCTTTCTTCTTTTATCTTCTTGCTCATCACCGACTTTTTTAGCGTAGTCTGTAGTAGGGAGGGCCATTCTTGCAGGCCTTTTTTGGGAGATATTGGAACTACAGATAACAATATTTGAAGTGGTTAAACTACTTTGTTGTGGCTGTGCTCAAAGGTAATTTTCTGGGTGTTACAATTTCCAGAAACAGTCCACCCCCCAGACATTTGTTCTTTGCTAATGACACTCTGATTTTTTCAAAAGCCAATGAGACTCATGCTCTTTTGATTCTTGAAACCCTCAACCAATACAACCTGATAACTGTCCAAAAGTGAACTTGGAAAAACTCATTGTGTTCTATAGTAAAAACACCCCTACCTCCTCTCAAGTAAACATCTACCAAATTCTATTAGGCATCAAACCCCACCAATCAACCAGATAACTTGGACTCCCTTTAGGTTTAGAAAGATCCAAAACTGAAACATTCAGATTCATCCAGGATAATGTGGAGAAAAAAAAATCTTAAATTGGAAAAACAAGTTTTTGCCTTTTCCATGTAAGGAAGTGCTGCTCAAGTCTGTACTTATAGCCCTCCAATTTATGCAATGAGTTGCTTTTTTATTACCAAAATCTCTGGCATAAAAAATTTCTCATCTGCTAGCCTCCTTCTGGAGGAACAAAGGGATAGAGGGTAAGAAAGCTATTCACTGGAAGGCCTGGAACACTTTGACACTGCCAAATGAGATAGGACGACTGGGGTTTAAGGATCTGCACTAGCTCAACCAAGAACTAATTACCAAGCAAATGTTGAAACTACTAACAAATCCAAACTCCCTAACCAACAAAGTATTGAAGGTAATGTACTTTTTCACAAAAGGATCTTTTTCAATGTTAAAAAAAAAATCAGATTCTTAGATGTGGGATAACTGGTTGGAGTAGGAATTCCAGGGAGGAGCTAGGTACAAAATAAATTATGGTATCTCTGTCCAAATTTGGGACAACCCTTGGATTCCTGGAGTGCCTAAGTTAATGCCAGAGAAGACTCATTTTTCTTCACCTTTACTGCAGAAGGCCAATGATCTCCTTGACTCAACTAGAAGAAGTTGGAACACAGAAACACTGAAGAACAATTTCACAGACATGGATATGCAAGCAATTCTTAAAATCAGAGGGATGGAACCAAAGAAGCATGACAGACTTGAATGGGATAGTGGGATCAAGCTAATTTCTCTGTAGCCTCTCATTATGCAAAGCTTATATCCAACAAATGAAACCAACTAGACCTCCCTGAAAGCAACAACGATTAAAAAACTTATCACATAATTAATAAGAGGTTCTGGGGGATCAAGGTCAAAGGAAAAGTCAAGCATTTCATTTGGTCATTTACAATAATACCCTGCCTGTCAATAGTAACATCATTAGGAAGGGAGTGGAGATTGATATAACTTGCAGCTATTGTGGAGAAGGACCTGAAAATCTAGCACATGTGATGTTCCACTTCCCAAAAGCTAACTCACCTTGGATGGCTGCACCTGTTAGCTGGGAAAATTTAGAAGATAAACCATTCAGTTTCAAAGTTTGGTGGAATGCAGTATTCTCTGTCTTCCACTTCCATCTCAGAAGACATGATCCAAAACACAACCTACCTTCTTTGGTGGTTGTGGAAGATCAAGAATCTATGGGTGTCCCAAGGAATCAGAAGAGATGTGAAAGCTGCATTAGACATTGTTGTTGTAGATTGGCTAGAGTTTAAGTCCCTCACTTAGTATGCAGTTTAGTTCTCTTTTTAAGTTGTTTAGTTTAGTTCCTTGTTTTGTTAGTTGATGTCTGTTGTTTGCCTTGTCTTTTGGTTGGACTGCTAGGCTCCTTTGGGTTCAATGGTGGTCTGACTTTTGTTGTGCTTATAGTTGACTTGTTTAAGCCCAGGGTTGTTCTAACTGTCTCCTGGTTCTTAGCTTTGCTTTTGCCAGAGACATCTTCGACATCTTTGTTTTTTTTTTCTTTTTTTCCTAATTGTTTAGGGCACCTATGTGCCTTTCTCCGATTCTTCCTTTGGAGAAATTTGTATGGCTAGTTAGCATGTCCTATTTGTATTCTCCATTTATGAGTTATAGCATCTATCGTTTCGATAAAAAAAAACATTGCAAAAATATAAAAATTGCAAAATTCTCTATAAGACCATCATTATCCTCAACCCAACCCAACTCAGCCTAATAAATAAAAATTATTTTTCTCTCCTTCACTTGCACAACTCAACCTACAATACAATTTATCTTTAATCCCAACTCAAATCAACCTAAATATGTATTTTATTTTAATTGGTTTAAAATTACAATTGTTTTTTAAAACATATCATGTGTGATCTCTAGTTAGACATGGCCACGGGTCACCCAGCCCGGTCAAACCCGTTGACCACGGGTCCAAGCTCGGCTCGGATTTCAACCGGGCCGGTCTAGGGCCTTCTTTTTTACGATTCTGGCCCGCCGGGCCGGGCCGGGCCGGGTCCGACCCGGAAAAAACAGGTTCTTTTTGAATTTTTTTTTCTTTTTCTTTTTAGGCGGGCCCAGATCCGGGCCGGGCCATGGACCCGGCACGGACCTAGGCCGTGTCGGTTCAGGGTCGAGGTAACCCAATCCTTCGGCCTGTCGGGCCAAGCCGGGCCCGAGCCCGGCCCGCCTTTTGGCCATGTCTATCTCTAGTTGTATAGAATGAAAAAAGTATGAATTTTGGTATTTTTTTTTAGTTTTTAAATAAAAGAAATACGTTTGTCCAATAAGAATGAGACAAGTGTTCCATTCTCAAAAAACAATCAGTCGCGCCCCAAGGTCACATCGAGACCTTGGGTCGCTCGATTAATGACCTTTTCCCGTTTTTTTTAATAACTTTTTTTCTTTATCTCGTGACCCAACTCATTGTATCACAGATAAAAGTAGTCTAACATCAAATAACTAAACCCATAATTTGGTAATGTTAGAAAATCACACTTAGCCATATAACACGCTATATCCCAAGGGACATTTTCATCTATCCTACAAGATTTTAAAAATATTGCAAAAACACAATTCATAAACAAATAATTACATCTCTACCTAATATGTAATACATAACTACATTAATGCCTAAAGTAAGTTACCATATCCATTCAACTTCCATCCCCCTTTTTGTGGGCTTGATTAAGAGAGAGAAATGAAAAATAATAACTAACTCATTTAATTCCTTAATTCACGCAGTTTGTACATTTGTAATTCGCGCAGCCGTTAGGTGGTATATTTTGCGTTTATGTTGGTATATATTCAGTATATGTTACAATGAAGAACATGTCGTCCATCAAAAAATTATGTCTTCTTTATTTTTTTTTATTTTTTTTACTTTTAGACATAAAAGTATATATAAACATATTATAGCAGTTACTTATATTCCATATACAAACAAATATACTGCAAATATACTGTACATATATACCCGTCGAACGTCTTCCTGTTAATGTCATGAGAAAATATACCGAGAATATACTGATAATATACCGTCGAACGTCTTCCTGTTAATGCCATGAGAAAATATACCGAAAAGATATTGATAATATACCGAAAATTTTTAACTTTTACATACTATCGAACGTCTTCCTATTAATGTCATGAGAAAAAATACTGAAAATATACCGAGTATAAACCATAATATACAAAAAAAAAAATCATCAGTTTATGCTTTGTCAATATAAACCATACATACAAATAAGGTAGCCCTTATATTATACAGAACCTATACCCTATATATACATAACATATACCCGATTAATTCAATCTTCTTCCTTCTCAACCCAAACACGCCTCTCATCTCAAATCTTCTTCATTCTCCAAAGATTCTCGTTCCTTCGCAGCTTTCTTCTTCGCGTGCGTCCTTCTCCATCAATCGTCTTCATCCTTCTCCACTGACGCGTGACTCTTCCCAGCGGGTGGCAAATCCCGTCCCTCATCTTCCTCCATCGACGAGATAGCAGCAGTCGACCGTGTAGCAGGTTCCGTCCGCCATCGCACCTGAGGTCACGTCACCCTCCGTCGGGGAATTATCAATCCACGCCGGGAGTCGAGAAGGAGCCGTGGCGAGCAGCGAGTTCCGTCGATCCTCCTCAGCCGCTCGACTTTTTCCAGCGAGTAGCAATCCTGTCCGATCCGACCTTCGCCGTCGCGCCTGTTCCGGTCACCGGCCACCGGCGACAAGAAGCAGCAAATAGCAGCTGGGGCCAATGAAAGATCCGGCTCCTCCTCCTCCGAACAGATCTGAAAGGGAAGAGGTGGTTTGGGAGGGATCGTGCTTTTGTGAAAAATCTTATTTTGTTTAGGATTAATTTGTAGCTGATTTGTTGCAAAAATTAAGGAGAAAAGATCTTAATTAAAAACATTCCATGTTTGATATGTTGACTTTGGAAAATTAAACATTAGGTATATGTGTAATTATTTTGTATTGAAGTTGCATTTAAATAAAAAAAAACTAATGAGTGTTAAATATGCAATATAATTATTATATGAACGTGCAGGGTGTAAATTCCTCATATCCCAAGTTTCTGTACGATTTGAGACAAAACCAAATATGTTTTTTCAAACGAATGAAATGAGAGAGAAGTAATCGGAGTCGGTTGTGCTACCCTTGTTTATTGTTTTGCACCCCCAATTAGACATGACCACGGTCACTCGGCCCGCCGACTCAGCCGGACACGACTTGAAATCGGCACGAACTCAGTTCTGTCAAACCTGTTAACAATGTCCGAACCCAGCCCTAATTTTAACCGGACGAATCAGGGTCGATCATTTTAAACATATGACCCTAAAGATCGGACCGGGTCTGCCCGAAAAATATCAACAATTTTCATTTTTTTAGGACAGGTCCTGAGTGGGGCGGAACCGACCCGACCCACTGGGTCGTGAACGTGACACTTACCTCGAGAAAGACCGGTTCAGGGTCGGCCATTTCATACCCAGAGACCCGCCGGGCCATACCTAGCCCGGGATTTGGCCCTGTCCAAAATTTGTGGTATTTGTTGTTATCACGAAGTACGAGTTCCTCGGAAAGAATTTCGTAAATCTGCTGCAGTATCCATGTCCTGGATCTGAATTGAAGAATCTGGTCTGCACTCCCTACTCTCTTAATCATCAGATCAATCATCTCTTCTCGAATTTGTTTAGTTCTTCATCTCTTTCTCTTCGTATCTTTCTTTCTCTTCGACCTCTTTTTGTTCAAAAAATGGGTCTCCGTGACAAATTAGAGTAGGTGGTGGGATTTTTTTTTCTTCCTCTTTCTGGCTGTGTATGTCGAGTTGATTTCTCGCGTTGGCTGCTGAATTCTGATTCCGCCATGAGGAAGAAGCTTGATACTCGCTTTCCCGCTGTAAGCTTCTCTCTCTTCTTCTCCTTTCTTTGTGCTATTGATAACTGCATATGTGAATCGATGAGCTCTCTTCATCTTTTTTTCTTTGTGAAATTGACTAGATAAGTGAATCGATGAGCTTGAATTTCAAGGGTTTTTGAGACTTCCGTCGGAAATTTATTTAATTATACAAGTCTTGGTCACTTTTCTTTTTGTTTGAAGGTTTATTTTAACTGCTATATTTATTGAATGTGGGTTGCCATATGCTTCTGTCATATTGTTTATTTGAGGCCTCTCTTGAACTTCTCCATGTAAAGAGTGAGAGCAGTAAATCAGTTTAAGTTTGACTAATAAGCATCATCATGTTCATTTAGTTGTGCAATATATCTGCTGAATGAATTGGAATGTGAAATTCTGAACCATAGTTGTTAGTTGAAGGTGAATGGCGAGCTTGGCGATTTGCTCATGGTTTGTCCTTGAGGCGCAAGGTGAGGCCATGGTGTTTCCTCTTGGACATGCCAAAATAATTAGGAAAAACAATAGAAATGAATGATAATGTATATATATAATGTATTGTAGAATCGTCTATAAATATTCAATCACACAACTCCACTAGTCATTGCCATGTAGCACCAACAAAAGACGACATTGAAACACGAGTCAACAACCTAGACAAGTGATAAACCACCTAGGAGAATAAACACAGACTAAGTGCATCGATATTCAATTCTAAAACAAGCCGGGGAGGCCACTCAAGCCAGATAGGATCTGTTTAGGCCGGTGGTGGCCATTATTTGATTTGCAATGGGCGACCATGTTCCTCGAATAATCTTTGTTTTTTCCCTAAATCTTAGCCTTTTAGTTTTTGTGTACATTTTATTAGTGTGAAGAGTAACCTCGCAATATTTTGAAATTGTGTTGGGTAAAGCATCTATAGTTTTGGGCGTTTAAGAGATGTAAAAAAGGCCCCCCTATTAAACCCATGACGCCTTGGGCTGTGGCGAGGAGATTTCCAATGTCCTCTGCCTAGGCTCCACGACGATGCCAGGGTATGGCAATTTAAACTTTGTTTTCATCACTACAACCTGAAAATTTTCTCATTTCATGGATAAATTGAGTTTGATTTTGCATATAGTGCCAGTCCTTACATTTTCCTTGAAGTCTATTACACCCTCCGTCCTGAAAAGATGGGTCACAAAGATAGTCCTATTGCCATAATCAGTATGTAAATATTTTTTTTTTTCTTCTTTTGTGTACCTCCTCAGTTTCATTCTAGTAAAAAAGCACCGCAGAAGCGAGTACAAATACAATTGTAAATAGGGTTGACTTTTTTTTAAAAAAAAAAAACTGTATGAAGTAACAGTAACCCTGCCTTTTGGGGGTGGAGGGATTATGTTGTTTAGTTTCAGTTTCACCGATAGGAAACCTTTTGGGTGTGAACTGAAAATATATGAAAATGAAAAGGTGCAGGCATGTGTTTGTAAAAACAGTAAATGTGATTTTTAAGATGTTGCTATTGATTTCTGGGTAATTTTTATATCTTCAGATCTGCTTATTCTCGAATAACAAGTACCATTCTAGTACTATACAAGAACAGGTAACATTTTTTGGAGATATAATATGTGGAAGAAAATCAAACATGACATAAGGTCCTATATTAGTGGGGAAGGAAAATTGGATTTGCTACAAAAAAGAATTACAAAGTTGTAAAGTTGGAGTAATTTTTTTTTTATTTGGATTTGGAAATAATATTTTTTTTTCTATTCTCACTTAAATCCAAGATTAAACACAATAATTGATGTTTAAATATCTTAGTGCAAGGACTTCCGCTGTATAGGTTGTACAGGATACAACATCACTCCAGGGATTTTGAGGTTTTCCACCTTAAGATTTCTATTTCTTGCTCTTCTAGAGAAACCTTTTTAAGCCCAAATATGTGTTTGCCTCGACTAGATATTATTATATATTTTTTTTTCTCCAAGCACCAAGTACATCTTCTCAGTTTCTTTTTCTTAAACAGGAGAATGAATTAATCATCAATCTTCATTATACAATTTTCACTAATATGTGAATGCGTGATCTGGAATAGGAACTGTGATGGCCTTTCATTGATAGGGTTTCTACATTAATTCATGTAGAATTTTTTATATAAAGCCTAATGTTTAACAAGTGTTGTTCTTGTTTCTCTCTTCTCATTATAAGTTCCATGTTTTTCTGCCAAGAGGCCTTAAACGTATGTGTTTTTCTCAGGCTCGCATAAAAAAGATCATGCAAGCTGATGAAGATGTTGGGAAGATTGCCATGGCAGTACCAGTTTTAGTGTGTATGTAAATTAGTTAGCTGTCACGCTACTGTATTTGATTTTGCAATAGAAGCTTATTATTTTCTTTTCTGACATGTTAATGCAGCTAAAGCGTTGGAATTATTTCTCCAAGATCTTTGTGATCGTACCTATGACATAACTGTGCAAAGAGGGGCAAAGACCGTTAACTCGTTGCATCTGTGAGTATAAAGCACTTTGTCGACTTAATCTTATATCTTCAAATATTCAGTTTAATTGATAATCATCATAGCCTTATGCTCTACTTTCTACAAGTACTAAATCCCTGGGGGAATTAATATAATAATCTTAAATGCATTTTAAGCTTGTAATGGGTTTGTTTCCCCACATTCACGTTTCATGTTGTATTTTGTAGATTTCTTGATTTTTGTTGCAATTAGTTTTATGATGTGATTATACACACAGGAGAAAAAAAAATAGAGATAAAACTTACTCTCTCTGTTTCAAATAAATGTTTGTACAATAAAAACAAAAGAATCAACAATTCCTATTTTCCCAAATGTACTATATATTAAATCTTTCCTAAATCATATATTTGTCCATTGCTTAGCAATCCTAATTATACATAGAGAATCAAGATTTTATGGTAAATTAAATTATGAGATTCTTTTAGGATATTTTAAACATATATAATTGGAATATGATTAAGAAAAGACAAATAATTGGAAACAAAAAGTATAACAACAAATGATAATTAAAACGAAACGAAGGGAGTAAGAGGAAAAGTAAATAAAAATTAAGATGGAAAAATAAATGGGAACCTACTTTTATGAATGCCATTATTAACTTTATATGCCTTTAAATGGTTTTTGTCCTAAAGAATGTTGTGGTCCAAACTCTATCTATTACTAAAATTGTATCAAAGCAAATGTTGCAATAATTTTAATGAACTTTACTTAAGTTAACTACTTAACTTCACCATTGGTTATCCTTCTCTTTTACAATTTCCCTTGTGTCTTGGTCCTTTTCAAATAGCCTTCTGTGTCTTCCATTCTTTCTCACAATCATATAATAATCTCTTTGATATTATTTTGAAGCTTGCTCCCCATGGATGCTAGTTTGAAATTTTTGTGGCTATGGGTATTGTACATTGGAATTAAATGTAACTTAGATCTTCCGTCATGTCCACTAAAATTGAGGTGGTTCTTTCTTCTTTAACATGTTAATGTCTTTATTTGGTGAATTTGAAAGTGTTGAGTTAATAAAATTCCTGTTATAGTTGGTGCATCATTTCATACTAATAGTGTAAGTTTTTGCTACTCTGAAGATCTAGGCTGCGGATGAATGTGACACGATTATCGGGACAAGGGAAACTAGAAGCTTGTGGTTTTGTAATTTGGACACTTCATTATGAATTTTTTTCTCCATGACATTGTTTAGTCATGGGTTTTTTTTTTTTTATTTTTTTACTTTATTTTATTTTATTTTTTCTCTTGAGAGTGGGGGAAGGTGGGGTGGGTTAAATCATAATATATTACATTCCAAAAGCATCCACTTCTGAATATTACATAGTAAGTTATAGCACAAAATTAAATTTCTCAATTTTATTAAACGGAAAAATAATGTCTCGCATTATTGTTTATAGAAAAACACATTCACTAATATTAAAGAAGTTTTAAACGCTTGTTGTACATTTGGTCATGGCCACGGTTTGGAACTTGCCTCGTGTTATGTTCGGACTGGTTTCGATTTTAAGAAAAAATGACCCGTCAGTTCGGCATCGAATTCTAATTTAAAATTTGAATTTTTATATTTTATTATTATTATTATTTTAATTTTCGTAGTTCAGGGTCCATTCTGTAGGAGCATGAGACTTGGAGAATTTTGAACCGTTGCAAAAACCAAAATGAATTAACTCGGAACTGAAAAATAACCATTAACCGTATGACTTTCTCCTAACCGAACTGTACCAAAAAAATAATTGGTACGGGATTTCACAAATATCCATGATCAAACGGAACCATCGCATATCCTACCAAACCAAAGAACCTAAATTAAGAACCAAATTATAACATTAGATATGTCTTGTTTATATATTTTGTGTCAACTTTAATCTTTTATAATTTTAGTATTTTTAAAATACTTAACAACATATATCAATAAAAATTAAGTTTCAATTATTAATAATACTTGATCTACAATGAATTGAAAAATGTATTAATATTATATTTGTTGATAATTTTCTTTGTCTTATTCCAACTTGTAATTAAAATGGTATGAAAAGTTAAAGAAATACCTACGTAAAAAATTCTATTATGTTTTATTTTGATTTCAAATTTCCATTATTAGTTGCCGAAATTTAGTGTAAATTAAAATTTGAGTTACTTCTATATTTTCTAAGTTGATTTCATATTAAATTTTTAATATGGTTGAGTATTGAATAGTGTTGGATTTTTTTTTTATTATTATTTTTTTTAATAACAGCATATCAAACTTTAAATATAACTAGATAGTCATTTGAAAAAGTTGAAAAATAGTTAGAAATCTCCATAGCTTCGAACCAAACCATCTTGATAGTCCCGAATACCGAACCAAACTGTACAGACGAGTAAAAATCTCCTAACATGTTGAATTTTAGTGATCTCCGAAGTCTAGTACGGTTCCGGATATATTTTAATCTCCGAACCGTACCGACACATACTCACCCCTACCGTTTGGGCCGGAACAGTTCCGAGCTGAGACCGGCGGTTTCGAGCCAGCTTTTGGCCATTTCTATGTACATATCACATCTCTGCAGTCTCGTTAAACCCTTTTCTTTTTTCTCCACATCTATTTTTCTCCATACAATTTTTTCTCGAGTCATTTGAGGAAAGAGATTGAAAAATCACTTTATAATAAATGCGGTCTCTTTTTGGAGTCCATGAATATGTGAACCCATGTCTTCGTGATTGAGTGTAGAATTGTAACTTTCAGATTTATGCCTGTTTAATTGATGGAGTTCAAATCTCCTATTATTTTCTCTGGTTTGTTCTTGAGGTAGAATTTTTTCTATTAGGATCAAGAGAATTTGTTATTTCATACTTTTGTAATGCTGGTCCTTCTATCATGGTAAATAGTGCAAGGTTAAGTCAGGTCTTTTGGTGGAACTTGGGGATTGCGTTCTCTAAAAGGATGTGTTATAGGTGAGAAGATGATGGAGATGGGTTTAAAAGATGGTGGGTAAAACATAAATGGTTCTGGAAGCTAAATGAAATGGCAGTTTTAGGTACAACAGTGACCCCAATTTCTGTTTTGTCTCTGAGAAGACAATAATAAAGTAGAAATAGCAATTTTCTTCACATGCTGTTTTTTAATTAAATTATATTCTCTTCTATTTTCTGTTGGGGGATCGGGAACTAAAATTCTCCCGTTCTTGGTTGAGTAGTGCATATAATCATGAAAAGAGTGTAGACACATCTCAAGTTTGCGAAGAAACTAGACATCTCGTATAGTTTTTCTTCAAAGTTAAGTTGTTGAGTGATCTGTTAAAATTTATCAGATGGAGGGGAAAATGATAAACAGTGAATTTTGCTATAATACTTTTCTTGTTTGTTCATATGGCCAATGCTAAGTTCTTGTGATGGTTGAAGAGGAAGTTCCACTGATTATTCTTTACTTAAGACATATTTTGCTTGAGCTGATTGCAGCTTCAAGACATTCTTGTCTAAACCATCCCCAGTGGTGCATCATCATCATCGTACAGCATATACGTGCCCTTGGTTTCTCTAAGGGCGGGTATGTGCTACTCGTAACATTTATTGTGAAACAAATAGGGCATTCGTTTTAGTAGTTATGTAATTGCCATAAATCTCATATTTCATTAAAAGTGTTGGCTTTCCATTAAATTTCTAGTATTTTATTATCATTACTGAATCTGATTATATTGTATCCCCTTATGCAGGAAACATTGTGTGCATAGTTACAACGTGTTTGACTTTCTTAAGGAAGTTGTCAGCAAAGTTCCCGACTATGGTCATTCTGACACCACAGCTGACGTCACAAAGAGAAGGTATTCTATTTCTCTGCCTGTTACCTCATTTACTTTCCCAGGATGATCCTATTAAAATTGATTATATTCAATATTTGCCAGGAAATTAGTTGCCAATGAAACCAATGATAGTGATGAAGAGTCCAAAAGGAACAGCATGGTAAATGCTCTTTTTCTCTCTCTTACTATATATATATATATATCACAAGTTTCAAGTAAAACAAAGAAAAATAACCTCTTATGCTCTTCCTCTTAGGATTTTTTAAGACTTTAGAAATCCTAGTGTATTCAATGTAGATTTTTTAAGACTTTTAAAAGTCATGGGGTATTCAATTGAGATTTTAAAAAGTCTTACAAAATTCTGAGGTATTTAACTTATTTGAGACTAGGATTTGTTAAGACTTTTTAAGATTTGGTGAGATTTAAAAGTAAAAACCTTATACGAAATCCAAAAATTCTATGGAGCCATCAGATGGTTTTCTTATGGAGCCATCCACCACTTAATGTATTGACACCTACCTGTGCAAGTTGTATATATTGTAGGACACGTGTCAATACACTATTGGTGAATAAGTGTGGATAACTCCATAAGTCGAGCCATCCGATGGCTCCATAGCAAAACTGATATGAAATCCCACTTCAAATCCCACCTCCAGACTTGAAAAATTCCTCCAATATCTGAAAATCTTAAAAACTCTCAAACTGTCACTTAAAATCCCAATTGAATACACCCTCCTAAATAATTATAAATACAATTAAATTGACCTGGTGCCAGTCCATATATTGCTCACTGGAGATTGAACACATATCAGGACACAAGACACACGAGCAGCGGCAGTGGGAGAGGAAGAGGTCGGGGCAGGGGAAGAGGTCGGGGCCGTGCCAGCCGAGCCACTGAGACTCATCGTGAGGTGGTTGAACCTATTGGCTCAACTCCCACCGAATCTATTGGCTTCAAAGAGGTCCCTTGTCCAATAAACACTAATACCATCCCCTTGGAAATGAAGGAAAAGAACAAAGATGATGATACTGATGGTGGTGGTGTGGCTGAGTCGACCAAATTCGATTCGAATGCCGGAGATGAAAAATCAAAAGAAAAGGCTTCAGCTTCTGCTGATGTCAAACTTGACGAGATTACCGAAATGGACAGGATGACCATAGACCCTCTTCATCTCGCACAGCTCGGCTCGAAGCTGGAGGAGGAGGATGAGGATTATGACGAGGAAGGGTAGTTTAGTAATAATGGATTAATGAGGGGAAATGGAAGCAGAAGGCCTCATGCAATGTGCCTTGAATTGTATATTTGTATACTCAGGATGGCCACTTGGATATGCCCTGTTTATTAATTAACCTAACCTGCAGGTTTACTTTTGTTTTCTTTCCATGTAATGTGTATCGCCTGATGTATTTCATGTATTGAATTAGCATATGGTACGGAGAGTGGTAATCCTTTTTATTTCAATGTATCTCAAGCTTTAATGGGCACGGGGGACAGGTCTCGGGTTGGGGCTCCTTGCATGTTTAGTTTGTAAAACTCGCAGTAAAGAGTTGAGGCGGGGAATTAAGGGGATTTTGGGACGATAATATGATTACCCTCATTTTATTGTTAACCATACTCCATAATGAGGCATGTTGATTGGGCGATTATGAGACATGTTGGGGTTACGAGGAAAAATACAGGATCAAGGTAGGAGCACCAAAATTCTCAATCTCTGGAGATAAGACATGTATCACCACTCTTTTCCACTATAGTATAGGTTATGTGAATTTTTGAAACATCCATGTCGTGTATGGATAGGTAAGTTAAAAGAGAAAATTACCTTATGAACTAACTAAAACATAAAAGATTGCATATATATTAACATAATATTTTATTTGCAAACATATAAAATCTAACACAAATATTTGCATGCATTATGTATAATTTTTACTTAATTATTAAGGTAGTTGTATGCAATTTGGTAATTGTTTTAATTTAATGGGATTTTACTTTTGTAACTTCTTAAAAGTTCATCTTATCCCTGTCAGAAAAAATCTCCACGCCTAACGCCATCTCCAATTTTCTGCATTCTTCTCCATCTCTTTTTTTAAATCATTGACGTTATTATCACGCACTTAAGCAAATTCTTTCACTCTATTCCTCTTCAACGCGCAAAAAACTCTAGCACAGAAAATGGTGGAACTCGATGCCCCACCCAACGTCGGAAGCAGACCCTCCCGTCCCCCGTGGTGAAGGAGACGGTCCTCAACGCCGTCGTCTCCGAACGTTCGGAGCCATTTCTGCTCGGCGGGCTCGAAGAATGAATCGTCTTTGATGGAGGAAAGCCCCTTTTGATTACTCAACTCGACTGTTGAGAACCTTAAGTGCCTATCCTGACCCCCTAAATCGAGGACGATGATCGGGCTTTTATTGCGCCATGAGGTAAAATGTCAAGCTGTAGACTCGCAGAGGGGACTACGACTACGAGCGTCTCCTTCAAATGGGAGCCCTTCGTCGTCCTTAAATTCTTAGAGGACGGCGCGACCATACTGGGACGGTGCGGCACTTCGGGGTGAGATGAGAATCTCGGCGTCCGATTTACATATAAATGATGTCTTAGTCTTGGGGAAAAAAATTACATGTTTTGATTTATTCAATTTTGTGGAAGATTTCAATGTTTATTTGACATTTATTAATAGTTTATATTTGATATATGAAGCGAAACTTTTTAGCCACATCGCGAGATCTAATAATATAAACATGTTATGAATGTTATAACATTTATACCAACAATAACATTGATATGTAAAACACTTTAAGTGTTCTTCATGATGTAAAAGAAAAAATCAAAATTCAGTTTATACTTGGTTTATAATATGTAATTATTTACATAAAACTTGGTTTATAATATGTAATTATTTACATAACATATAATGTGAAGAAGATGAACCGATTGAAAAATAAGATAATTGAACGACGAAGAAGACCCGATTGAAAGAAATAACAAAATAAGATAATTGAATGACAAAATCGATCAGGTCGACAATTATATGAAAAAAGGTCAAGGCTTAAGGACGAGCGTCAAAATCTTTGTGCAAGATGAGCATTATAATTAATTTCAGTATATGTTGCTTTTATAGTCAGTATATTTACAATTTATATTGTGTTTTAATGTACATAATATTAATCTAACCACAATTGTGATGTTTTGATTTTGCTTATTTTTTTGTTTATATTTTCTACTTAGTTTTATACAAACGATCTATAAAACATTGTTATATAAAACACTTTATAAGAGCTCTTGAAAATGTAAAAAATAAATAAATAAATAAATTATACATACTAGATTACAATTTATTTTTTCACTCAATCAAATTCGATTTTTACTTGGTTTATAACCTGTAATTATTTATATAACATATAAGTATATGTATGTACAATTTCATATTTTCTATTTGTGGAAGAAGATGGAAATAAATGAGGTTTTATTTAATGGTTCTCATAAATTTAGAAGTGGACTTATGGAAATAGAAAATAGAAAATAAGTCTTATGCTGGTGAATGGTATAAAAGTAAGTAGACAATATAAACAAAATCTAAACATCACAACTGTACTGTGGGACAAGCCAAGTAACCAAATCTCACAGCTAAATAGTATTAGGTATTCAAACAAATACCAAACATAAACTATGAATAACACATCAAACAAATATTGAAACATATCCGATCGGAACTATCCGTATGCCATCGAGCAAGGTTGTCGTCACGTTATTGAGTCTGCNGCCCACAGGCACAACCGCTTGTCTATGAGGTGCTTGACAAATCACCACGATCGGTCGTTCTCGCTTTTTGACGAGCCAAGTAAACCATTGCCATTAGAAGCCAAGTAATCCGACGGGCTTTGTGCCACATGGGCTACCTACGGCCATATGTCAAAGTTTTCAAGTTATAAATATAAAATAACTAGTACAATACTCGTGTACTACACAGATGGTTGATAAAATGATTAAACGTACAATAAAAAATTATATATTTTATTGAAGTTGGAAAAAATAAATAAAGAACAATATAACAATTTAGAATAAATAACTAAGTGAATTAACAATTTTATTTTTAATTCTAAAAACTAATTTATATACATCATTAATTTTATTTATACATTTTATTTAAAACACATGGAATAATATGAATAAAGCACAAAATTTGGAAAGTAAAATTATATACACATTATAGAAAGAAGATAAGTAATAGATTTATATGGAGTCATTTAATTACAATATATATGTGTATATATATGGTAATCCGAACCTAAATTATTTGATATACAAAATTAATAAATTTAATCCAAGGCATATTACAAAGTATAATATTTTGCCATGTCAGATTACGAAGCATGAAAAGCTGCAACTTAGTCTCAATGCGTTTTGAAATTATATATAAGAGGGACATAAGAGGGATGATATTTAATTTTCATTAATTAAACAATAAACTCAAGGATTTATAAAATGATATTGACGTTTAATAAGTGTTTCTCATTAAATGTAATATCCCAATGAAATGCTAAATAGTTTTTTTTACTTATTTAATTTAATATTTTAATTTATCTAAATATTTAGATTAATACTAGCTATTACAAACACATCATTAAACAAAGCACGATTTGAATGCGAAATGGGACACCTGCCTCGATTTAGGTCTCCGCCATTTTGTGTATGTCTCGATTGTCAGCTGTTTTGCCGAAATTCTTCTATTCCGTGAGTGTTTATTTCTCCATATCCTTAAGGTCTAAGTGTTGTTTTGGTTGTGATGGGTTCATAGATCGATCTGCTTTGGCCTCGGCTCAGCGGGCGAGAGCGCCGAAGGTGGAGGATCTGGCTTGAGAAATTTCTAAGTCTTGAGTAGGTCTAGGTCGGCTGATTTCTTGGCCTTCTTGAAGCCGACGAGTTTGGCAGAAGCGGGAGGAGGGATGAAGGGATGGCAGTGATGTTTGAGTAGAAATTTGGCAGCGCCAAGGCGGATGCGCTGGAGAAGATGGCAACGATGGCAACGATGATGAGAGAAAAGTGATGACCAAAGAATACTTTCAGTGTATGTTGCGTTTATACTCTGTATATTTTCAGTGTATTTTGCATTTTTATTTACTAACATTATCTAACCATAATTGTGATGTTTGAATTTTATTTATATTTTTCACTTAATTTAATACCTACAGCTGTGGAGCATTGATATGGAAAACATATTATAAGCGATCTTAGGATGTAAAAAAAAAATTATGCATATATGCTAGATTACAATTTTTTTTTCTTTTTTTTTTTGTTTTTTGCTCAACCAAAATTCAGTTTATGCTTGGTTTATAACCTGTAACTATGTATATAATATATAAGTAGCAATATTAAATTTACATCTCTGTAACATATAAGTAGATATATACAATTTACGTCTTCGTAATATACAATGACAAAACTGACCAGTTCGACAATTATAATAAAAAAAAGGTCAAAGCTTAACAACAAGAATCATAATCTTGTGCAAGACGGACATTAGAATAATTTCAGTTTATGTGGCATTTATAGTCAGTATATTTTCAGTATGTTGCGTTTTTATTTACATAACTTTTACCAGCTCAAATTTCCTATTTCGCACGTAGCTCTTGAAGAACAATCGAACAACATCACTGGAGAGATTGATGTTTGGTCTACTCTCTTTACCCAACAACAGTACCATCAAGTCTGTAGATTCACGAGTGAAACATTTTTCAATAAGCTGCACCAAAACATTATGGAAAATAGATGTCCTTGGCAAAAAGAACTTCTCCTTATTTTGTCCAGACGACAGAGCTAATAAGAACCAATAAGAACCATGACAGAAATCAAACATCCATTCACAATAAGTACTCAAAACTAAAACATAAACACGCGACAAAACTAAAAATAAAAACTAAACAAAAAACATTAATATAAATATCTAAAACAACATAAACAATAATCAACAAAAAAGAAAAAAAAAAATTCTCATTTGCCATCTCATATCAATTTCTTCATCAACAAAAAAATCTGCTAATATACCAAACATAAACAATAAATAAACATCAAATAAACATTGAAACAGATTAGATCGAAACTATCTGCATGCCGCCGCTGTTCACAAGCAGGTTTGTCATCTTATAACTAAGACTCCACCGACGACTATTTATCGAGACGAGTTCACAACCTCAGCCGCTCGACAGATCACCTCCACCAGTCGTTATTTTCTTTGAACGAGCCAAAGGAACTGCTGTCGCTCAAAAGCAGGGATGTTGTTCGTCTCGTCACGCAGCCTTGGACAAACACTGTTGGTGCCCGATAGATCAAGTTCGCACTGTTAGTGTTATATACTGAAAGCTTGGCTTTGCATGATATTACACATTTACCCTTTATGAATGAGAATCATGTTAGTGTTCTGCACTTAGATAGGGTGGGTCGTCATCGGGCGAACCGAAGATCACTCTATCAGTCACTTGCGAACAAGAATAGTTGTTCACAACATAGATGGACATGAACACCCCATCCGAACAGTTGTAGTGTCAACTGTACAGTTTGTCTTGACTAATTAGTTGCACTAGTACATTTATGTATTGAACAGGATCCCAGAGAGGAGAAGTTCATTTTATACTGATCATCGTAAATGAACTAGGCCTCGGTTAATTACTTCGTTCTCTTAACCCATAAGATATTAAACAGGCAGATATATATAATATATGTTACTTTGATTCACATGGGTGAGGTTCAGTTCGCTGGATTAATATTCTTACTGTTTTGGGTAATATTATTATATATAGGATGTGCTGTTAGGATATTTACGGTCACCATGTGCGTTAGTTTGATGATGTCCCCGGAGTGAGTTCATGAAGGATTGTTATGCTAAACCCTGCAGGTGGATTAAGTTCCGACATAATAAGAATGTGATGGACGAGCGCTAGCTTCGGTGAAATAATAATAAATTAACTAATTCTTGATTGTCAGTAATCGAATTAGTTAATGGACATTATATCTTAAACGTGGGGAGGTAAATCGAGTAATTATTATTGGAGTCTCAAATGTAATTTGGGCTAGGGAAAGGGAGTGCAATAATATAATGTTGGTGGACCATTAATATTATTTAATTAATTAGAGGAGTGGGTTTGGCCCACAGTTAGTCTACTTAATTAAGGAGCCCTTTTCCTAATCTTCTAAGGGTCCCTACTGTAGCTCTATATATACATCATTAAGCTCATGAGAAGAGAATAACAATCTCATATTCACGAGATATACACGCCGCCCCTACTCTCTCTCTCTCTAGATCTCATTCGAGCTTTAGCTTCTTCTTGTTGTTCCACTAGTACAAGTTGAAGAAGGGTGTATTGAGTAATACAGTAGAAGATCTATAGGTAAATCGAGATGAAATATATTTTGACCTACAGAACTAACCGAAAGTCCGATTGAGACGTACAGCATACCCAGAAGACCGTCTCGACGAGAGCTTTCCATCGCCGCCAAGATCGCAACCGTCCGACGCCTCACACGACCTCAAGCGCTGCCGGAATCTCCCAGGCTGCAAAGTTTCGTTTTGATCCGTTTGCATCCGTTTGATCCGGTTTTGATCTGATCTTGTTCGTGCAACCCAAGACGTGATTTGCGGTCAATCAATTGCGGTCAACCGTTCGTGATCAACCAGATCTACATAAATTTTAAGCCGTCAGTTCTCTACGTCAAACCTTTAGATCCGCTGCGCATAGGTTTACGTTTGCTATTGAATTTGTGACTTGTACATAACGAGATCCTCACAGATCCCAACAAGTGGTATCAGAGCACTTGGTTAATTCGTTTTGTACAAAGTTCAAATTTTTACAGCTTTATTTGACAAGATGTGTTCAAACGCAGCCACATATTGGATTATATTTGCATAACTCGGTTTTGCAGGATAAATAGTTAATCCACTATTATGGCCGATTATGTGTTTGATGAATGTTGTTGAATGTGATGTATGGTTTTAGTTAGCAAGCAGTCCAACTATGGGGGGATCCTTTATGCTACTGTTTTCAGTAGTACGCCTAGAAGAACCTATATTTTTTTCCTAAGTCCCTAAGCTAAGAGTGAAAAGGTACTAATACAAACATCTTAACCTTTCAAAAGAGATGTGCGAACGCTAATCCTGACTTGAGTAGTAATCAATAGAAAGAGAGGGCTCCTGCACAAGTAAATGACATATATAGAGTCAATCTCTTCGGTCATAGTAGGGCTAAGCCCAGAGGCTTCAACTGCAAAGCACCCCGGCTATTCTATCTTGATAAAAAGGATTTATTCTTTAAGGGTCTACTATATTACGTTAATACATGAATCTCATCTTTCCAATCTCTTTATTCCCGCCCATTCCTCTGACTTGTTGCCTTCTATTCGGCTTCTACCCGGGGGTTACCTTATCGTTATCAACTGCTTTCAACCTTCAAAATGTTGTATCATGGGCTGGTGGCGGCGGCAGGTGGCGGCTGGTGGCTGGTGTTTTTGCCTTGATGATCAAGCAGTACAAGATCAACCAGGATTCTACTGCTTAAAGGAGTTCCAGTTAAACAGGAAAAGAACTGTCACAGTTTCCTTGTTTAAGGAGACTCAATATTTAATGACCATAATAGTGGATTTATTTATTTATTTAATTAAATTTATTATGCTATTAAATTATTATTTATGCATGTTAATTAATTATGTTCTTGCATGAGATTAATTTAGTATTGCAAGATTAATTATGCATGTTAATTAATTATGTAATGCATAAGATTAATTTAGAATTGTGTCAATAAATTATGCATGTTAATTAATTATTGCATTGGCATGGATTAATTTAGAATTGCATAAATTATTGAACATGTTAATTAATTATTGCATTAACATATATTAATTTAAAATTGCATGAATTAATATGCATGTTTATTAATTATTGCATTAACATAGATTAATTTGGAATTGTATAAATAGTTCAATATCCTCATTAAAATAATACTGAGTTTGAGAAGGGATTTTAAATTAAAGTTAATTGTAAAATTCCTAAGGCCTTCATTTCTAATTTGTCGGTAAATCAATTAATTGCGGTTATGGGTTCCCCCTCGGGTGACATTGCTAAAATTAATTGTAGGAAATTACCAAGACAAATTTCTAAAAGTAGATGGTTAGAGGAAATCTTATGAGAGCGTACGGGCTTCCCCTCGGATGACATATAATCAAATTTGACGACCTTAGGACCGAGAAATGGGATTCACTTAGAATGCGATTAAATTTATTAACCACCCTCGGGGTTCCTGAATTCTATTGCAAGGCCAAATGGAGACCGAATATTAATTTCGTTCGTCATGAATTTGGTTTTGACTTATGGAAATTAATGGGCCTTAGAAAAGCCCTTCTCTTACAAAATGCGAGTTTGTAGGGCGACCCTCGTAGCATGCATTCTCACAAGGTGTAATAGATGTCGGTGGATATAAGTTAATGTTGTTTTGAGGATATCAATATTAACAGTTAAATTCAAAAGTGTTTAATCTGTAAAAATATTTGCATGATTCTTAGGATATTCATCATGTCGTTCAATCCGTTGTCTGTCATTCTAAAAGGAAATCAGCTTACTGGTCCAAATTACATTGATTGGTAGAGGAACTTAGACATAGTGTTGACTGCTGAGGGTTATAAGTTTGCTATCACCGATGCTTGCCCGGCGGTGCCGGCGGCTGATGCTCCTGAGCAGAAGAAAGAGAAGTA